CATAATTAGTACCATCTTTGGGTGTTTTTAATTTATTTCAGTGGAATCTGTTGGCAGAAATTAGTTACAGTAGGATTAGATGTGCATTGCAAACTTGACGATTTTTTTTCCCCTAAACATTTTATTATTTTAATATAACTTCTTAAAATTTCTGAGGGCTGAACTAATGTGTGCTTTATATCAGCTTTTAAGGTAGCATAAAAAGAATATTTTTGCTTACCTTGTGAACATGTTGATATGTCAATTGAAGATGTAAGAGTTAAAATGCATTGTGTTAATTGAAAAGAGTTGCAGGTAACCTACATCTATCTATGTGAACAGTTGCTAAAAGGAACAATTAAACTTTCATAAAATTTGTGGATTTCTATGTATCTTTAAATGCTCTGTATATACATCACTTTTCCAGACCATTGACAGCAATTTATTTTAAAACTGGCTGCTTCTGTATATTGACATTAAGGCTGCTTGCAATACTCTTACTAAAAAGAAAAAGATTTTAAAAAATCTTGTTTGTTTTCTTTATATAGTTAAAAGGCAGAGCCATACTGTTTACTATCTTTTAACTGGGATATTTTCAATTGATGTGAATTACACAAATCTGAAGAACTAAAGTCCCAATTCAGAAAAAGAAAACATTTAAATATGTGCTTAAATTTAGTCATAGGCAGATCTATTTAGTCATAGGCAGAACCTTTTCTTTGGGTGAATCGGGTATCTTTTATTAGACCAACTTAAATAGTTGGAAAAAAAATTTCTTAGCAAGCTTTCGGGTTGGAAAACCCTTCGTCAGGCTGAGGAAGCCTCTGCAGTTGGTGTAAGCTCTTCCTAGATGGAATGAATAGTAAAGAACCCAGAGGCTGGGCTGGTATGCATGCAAGACAGGCAGTCAGTGAAGATGTAAACTGAGGAGTCAGTGGGTGAGAGACAGGCTGGGTAGGGGGGAGAGAGAAAATGAGCTTCACTTCATCAACCTCCTGGATACAAAAAATCATGGACTAAATATAGACATTGGATTTATGACACATTATAACCTGCCTGACAGCTGACTCTGCAGGTACCTCTCCACTATTTACCTACTACATTCTTCCCCCTTCTCTTGCACCTCCTCTTCCCCCCAGCCCCTCTCTCTCTCTCTCTCTGACTCCTCCATTTACATCTTCACTGACTGTATATCTTACATGCAGATCAGCCCAGCCTCTGGCTTCTTTACTATTCATTCCTTCCAGAAAGAGCACACACCAACTGCAGAGGCTTCCTCAGCCAAACTAAGGGGGTTTTAACCCAAAAGCTTGCTAAGGAAATTTTTTCCAACTATTTAAGTTGGTCTAATAAAAGATATCAGATTCACCCAAAGAACTTTGTCTAACTATGTCCTTAGAACAAGCTTGTCCAACCTGCGGCCCACCAAGCTATTTTCTGTGGCCCGCGGTGCTGCGACGGGAAACAAAAGTAAACACTGTTTACTTTCGCTCCCACCCCTTGTCCCTCCCCCAGACCCTCAGCAGCTTCCAAAAGGCTGCTGAAAGGCTGGGGAAGGGACGAGGTTTCCACACGCGCTGTGTCAGCTCGTCGTTGCCAACGTGGTGCATGCGGGGAATAGTAGCCGGCAGCGAAAGCATGGGTCATCGGTGCAGCGCAGGGTGGTCCCGGGCAGAGCTTGCACTGGCCAGCACCCGGGGCCCCCGCACCTGCCCCGCTGCACACTCACCTGCATGGTTCATCTTCCCGGTGGCAGGCGGAGAAGTTGCAGCCGGGGGCTGCCTGGGCGCTGCCCCATGCCCGGCTCTCAGGTCCCTGTGTGAGCACACGGCTCCGGCCTGGGCTCGCTGTGCTGCCTCCGCTTCCTCTGCCGCCTCCTCCTTCCCCGGCAGAAGAAGACCCTTTTGCTGGCTCCGGGCTGGGTCCTTTAAGCCCCGCACTGGGAGCGGTCCACACTGCATCGGCAGGGAAAGGGCGGCGTGGTGCGGTGTAGGGATGAGCACGCGAGCATGAAACATGGCTGCCCGGCTATCAGCAGGGCTGTGTCCCCGGGCAGGATGCTGAGGTTCCACACGTGTGCATGCACTCATGAAGAGGAAGCACAAGGTCACACTCGCACCCTCCTCCTCCATGGGAGCCGGGGGCGAGGAGGGAGGCCGGCTGTATGCATGTGGCCATGTGAAGACTGGGCTCCTCATCCCCGATGGAGCCGGGCAGCGTCCTGAGGTGCTGCTTCTCCTCTTCCTCCTTGCTGCTGCTGCTGCTGGAGGCCAACAGCCGGCTGCTCCTCCATGGCTTCCTCTACCTGGTACTGTACGCCCAGGTGTCCCAGGGCAAGCCTGCATTATGCTTCTTTCATTCACTGAGAAGTGAGTAGAAGCGAAAGTGTTTATTTTAGTCAAGTGTTTGGTATTATTTCATTGTTGCTTTTATATTGTTTTTATTTTGGATTTTAAACCACATTTCCAGACCCATTTTATTGTCATTTTCTGCAACTTCATTGGTGTCAAAGGTCATGTGACATCACTTCCTGATGTGATACCACTTCCTGTGAGGTCTTTGAATATGGCTCGCCAGCCCACTGGGTGATAAAAAGTTTCTGAACTGGCCCCACATTCAAAAAAGGTGCCTGCCTTACACCAACATGGCTACAACCTACACCCCTGTAAAGTTAGTCATATAATTTGGCTTTACTGAAATGCTTTGCTGAATCAGGACTTGAGCTAGGTAACATGAACAATAAAAATCATGTTAAAACTCTGGACTTCAATGAAAGCGGAGTCAGACCCTTACTTTGTTCTCAACCAAGAGACCATCTGCATCTGGATTTTCTGGATCCCATAAAGAAATGGGTATCAAGCCCTTTTTACAAAACCCCAACAACTGGCTCTCACTCAAATTAAAATTAAGGCAATGAAAAAATTCAGGAGCATCACCATCCCATGCCAATACCCTTCCACTACCCCCCATCTAATCAGGAGTGATTTAGTGAGAAGGAATTAAAAACTTTAAATTCCTTTCCTTCTTCCCCACAACCAAAAAGCAGATGTTTCTGTGGGAAGGAGTAACTTGATCTCTGCTCTGTCCATTAACAAGGAGCCCTTTCTACTCTGGGATAACTTGTCTCCAGCCATGTTTTAAACAGTTGTTGGAGGTGGATTTCTCTCACCTTTTCCTCAAACCTTTTCCTCCGCAGCCCTCTATAAAGAAAATTCATGGAGATCAACCTTGTGCATGAAAGCCTGTGCAAATGCCTTATAGCTATTTTTGAATGACACTTATAATTAACCTTGCTAACAATTGTTTTAAACACAGTTGTGCATGGCAGGTAGCTTGGTTGTGATACCTTCAGGCCTAGTAGGAGTGCCATAGAGTCACAGGCTTAGGCCCACCAAAAAAATACTACAAGACTCCCTTAATAAGGGAAGCCACTGAGGTCACATCAACTGATTTATTGGGACAAATAAAAAGAAAACAGGAAGGGGAGTGCAGTCGTATGTTAATAATAAGGAATCCAAAAGGGGACATGCCGGCTAGTGCCCCCTACCCCCTGAGTGAGCTGAGGTAGCCTGTTGGCACTGACCAGTGAAACTGTGTGTGGCGGCATGAGCAGAAAGACAGCCCCGCACAGGTTCCCAGCCCC